GGGTGCCTGGCCAGCCTGGGTGAGGGGCTAATGGCTGTTTTCAGGCTGGTCAAGCCCCCCCCCAGTGGGGACCCTCACTCCATGGAGGTTTGGCCAGTCTGGGTGAGGGGCTGATGGCTGTTTTCAGGCTGGCCACACCCCCTTTAGGGTGGGGGGGGTCCACTGGGGTGCCTGGCCAGTCTGGGTGAGGGCCTGAGGGCCATTTTAAGGCTGGCCAAGCCCCCTGGTGACGGAAGCTCCCAGCCTCTCCTTTTTTTCTTTTATTCTGGGATTTATTTACCGTCTATAATTGAAACTTTGTTGCCTTCAGTGGAGCTCAGAGCCGGGTTCTGCTCACTCCAGCTCCGTGGCCACGGCTGGCTGAAAGCAGGTATCTGGGGTTTATTTATCTTCTATAATTGAAACTTTGTTGCCTGCATTGGCTCAGAGCCGGCCGGGAAGCTTGGCTTCCTCCATCACTGGAGCAACCAAGCCTCCTGCTCGCTTCAGCTCCGTGGCTGCCGGCCACCATCTTGGTTGGGTTCATTTGCATATAGTCGCTCTGATTGGCTGGTGGGCGTGGCTTAAGGAGTAGCGAATATACGGTCAATTTGCATGTTTGTCTTTTATTAGATTAGATAATTGACATATAACATTATATTAGTTTCAGGTGTACAACATAATGATATTTGTATATATTACGAAATAATCACTACAATAAATCTAGTTAACATCTCATGTTTTGAAATCTTTTACAACACACAGATGGTCACCAAGATATTCACAGAGAGGCTGTGTTGCTCTATGCCATTATACTAACCATAAGTTTATCTAATCTAATAATAGACAAACATCGTAATTGACCATACCTCCGCTACGCTTCCCATTGGCTAATCAGCAGGATATGCAAATTAACCAACCAAGAATGGCGGCTGGCAGCCACGCATCTGAAGCGAGCAGGAGGCTTGCTTGCTCCAGTGATGGAGGAAGCCAAGGTTCCCCGCCTGCCGTGGCCCGGCTCTGAGCTCTGAAAGTAACAGCTCCAAAAGCAACAAAGTTTCAATTATAGAAGCTAAACAAACCCCAGATACCTGCTTTCAGCAAGCCCTGGCCTCAGAGCTGGAGCGGCAACAAAGTTTCAATTATAGAAGGTAAATAAATCCCAGAATAAAAAAAGAAAAAAAGGAGAGGCTGGGAGTTTCCGTTGTCGGCTTGGCCAACCTGAAAACAGCCCTCAGCCCCTCATCCAGACTGGACAGGCATCCCAGTGGGGACCCCCACCCTGAAGGGGGTGTGACCAGCCTGCAAACAGCCATCAGCCCCTCACCCAGGCTGGCCAGGCACCCAAGCGAGACCCCCACTCTGATCCGGGACACCCTTCAGGGCAAACCAGCCGGCCCCCACCCATGCACCAGGTCTCTATCCTATATAGTAAAAGGGTAATATGCAAACTGACCTTTACAGCAGAAAGACTGGGAATGACTAGTCACTATGACACACACTGACCACCAGGGGGCAGACACTCAATGCAGGAGCTGCCCTCTGGTGGTCAGTGAGCTCCCACATGGAGGAGCTCTGCTCAGCCACAAGCCAGGCTGATGGCTGCCAGTACAGCGGTGGTGGTGGGAGCCTCTCCCGCCTCCTCAGCAGCGCTAAGGATGTCCAACTGCAGCTTAGGTCTGCTCCCCGCTGGCAAGTGGACATCCCCCGAGGGCTGCCTGGCTGCCATAGGGATGTCTGATTGCCAGCTTAGGCCCAATCCCCCAGAGGAACAGGCCTAAGCCAGCAGGTTGTCATCCCCTGTGGGGTCCCAGACTGCGAGAGGGCACAGGCCAGGCTGAGGGACCCCCCCAAGTGCACAAATTTTTGTGCACCAGGCCTCTAGTGTAATTTATAAATCACAGAGTACTTAAATGTTTCAGTACCACTCAAACAAAATAACTTCCTTTTGAATTTCCTAACACCCAGTGCATAGTGTAGACACCTCATGACCAATGCTCCTACTCCTCCCTCTATCCTGCTTATTTCCTTAATGTTACTTTACAGTAAATCTGAGAAAACGTAGCAAGAAGTCTTCAACATTCAAATACTTTTTAATGTGCTTTGAGTAGCTTCAGTCTTTCTCCAAGGCTTGAAAGATCAAAGTTACTCAAGAGGTCTGCGGGTGTATGTGTGTGTATTTAACTTCTGTCTTAATCTCAAATGTGGTTAAGAACTTAGCTTCCAGAGTTGAACTAAAAATCAATACCAAGAAATGGAAAAGACAATGTTCACAATATTGCCAGATAAAAATTGAAATCTATAAAGGATCTTTCTTAGAAATAAAATTAAAAGTTCCAATTCCATCAGAATATAGAAACTGCAGGGCAATAAAGTATATGAGATATACTGAAGGGTAAAAGTGACAGGAAAACACAGAGAAGACTGTGACATATCTCTAACTATTACTCGGTTTCAGGCAAATAGTAAAAATTAGTCTTCAGATAGTTGATAACATCAGCCTGTCTCAGGTGGTTAGTAACCAAGATCTGTGGTCAAGCAAGTATTTCTAATAAAATTGATTTTCTTTTTTGGCAGCCAGTAGGCCAGTCAATAATAATGTCGTTTAAGAAAGACTGAGTCATGAGAGAGATGAACCTTTACTTCCATTTATTGTGTTTGTATTATCTATATTTTCAAAATTACAAGGGGAAAAAGCTATTCAGAGAGTTAATTTCCAAAAGTCCCCCATGACTTGGAAGCATGTTAGCAACCAAAAATGACAAAAGCAGAACATTCCCTAACTGAAACTAGGTCATATGACTTAGGATTGTCAATAACAAAGGAAAATCAAAACTAGGATCAATATAAAGTGGTCATGTGAATACAAAGAGAAAAAAAGAAAACATTGGCCAGGTATATAGTCCTAACTGATCCATTCTAAAAACCTACATGAAACTTTTACGTTACATTAAAATTGATATTCAGTAAAGAATGTTCTATAAAGCCACATAAGGTAGTTTTTGGCTTGTCTGCCTTATATTACCCAAACAAATCGAATACAGGAAACCCACAAGCAAAAACCTCAGGCTCTGCCTAACTTGGGGACATTTCCCTCCAAATACTCTGAAGAAATTAAAAATACTAAGTCAAAAGGTAAATGCACCACTATCCTCATTTTGTAGCGTTATTTACAATAGCTAAGATACGGAAGCAACCCAAGTGTCTATCAACAGACGGTTGGATAAAGAAAATGTGGTACATGTATACAATGGAATATTACTCAGCCATAAAAAAGAATGACATCTTGCCATTTGCAACAATACGGATGGACCTTACAGGGTATTGTGCTAAGTGAAATAAGTCAGACAGAGGAAGACAAAATACCATATAATTTCATTTATAAGTGGAACCTAAAGAATAAAATAAATGAACAAACAAAACAGAACAAACTGAAGGTTGCCAGATGGGAGGGAGGTGTGGGGATGGGTGAAAAAGGTAAAGGGAGTAAGAAGTTACAAAATAGTCACAGGATGCAAAGTATAGCATAGGGAAAATAGTCAATAATATTGTAATTAGCACCTATGGTGCCAGGTGGGAAGTAGAGTTATCAGGAAGATCACTTCATAAATTATATACTTGTTTTAACCACTATGCTGTACATCTGAAACAAATATAAAATATTGAATGTCAACTGTAATTGAAAAACGAAAATAATTTTAAAAATATACCCTAACAATCCAAACCAAATAAAAGACATGAGTGCACCAATTATTTATTTCTTTTGTTTTTTTAAAACTTAGTGATAGTGGTGTTGCTTGGGGGAAGAAGCAAGGGTTTGAAAGATGATTTCACAGTTCACAGAAAAATAAAGCAAAAATACCAGGAAAAATTCTGAACAAGTAGGGAAGGAATATATCCTAAAAGATATGAAAACATATTTTGAAGCTATAATACTTTAAAAAGCACAGCATAAGTACATGAACAGAAAAACAGAGCAATGGTACTGAACAGCCCAGAAATACACTGACAGGATGTAGGTAGTGACTGTTTAATGGGCACAAGGTTTCCTTTTGGGTGATGAAAATGTGGAATAAGAGAGTAGTGATGGTTTTATAACACTGTTAAATTAACTAATGCCACTGAACTGTACACTGTACAATAGTTAATGATAAATTTTATGTTAAGTGGATTTGACCTCGATTTTTTAAACAAGCTCCCCCTTCATCAATCACTCTTACCTGAGAGTTAATATCAGCTCTGTATTGTAGCAAGACTGTGACTAGTTCCTTATGTCCTCGATCACATGCCCAATGGAGTAGAGCTCTGCCCTAAAACACAGAAAAAGAGAAATAAATTTGTTAATACAGCTATGAGGCCATATAAAAAATATGTTTTAAGAAAGACAAAGTAATAAGTAAAACTGGGTTAATTATTCTAAGAATGATGATATAAAATGCTCTGTGGGAAAAGCAGTAATCTTTTTGGAATCAACGGGCAATCCTGAGTTGTACTTCTAGCCCAATGACTTATGTCAGCCTGATCAATTTCCTCCCTATAGAATGAAAATAAGGGTAATATTTGTTGAATGAGTGAGCTGCAAGATAATTCTTTGAAAATTTTAAAGTACTACTTTATAAATGTAAGATAGTTTTCTTAAATTATCACATTCACCACTTCTGGTGAAAGAAGTCTATTGGATAAAAAAATGAGTACTAAAACGTAGGCAGAAAATATAATCTAAGTGTAGTATATCTAAATATGCTAGTTTATTCCTTAAAATCTAAGAAAATTTAATCAGTTTGAAAGTAAGCATTTCCTCTTAATAGTCCAAATTTACACTCTTAAATATCTCAAAAACACTAGTATTGTTTACTTGGTTCTCTAGCTTCAAACGTTGACTGTGAAACTCACTTGTAAAAGAGAACAGATGATTAACTGTTAGGAGAGAAAGTATAAAACACTACTTTAACTGTTGTCTACCAAAGACTCAGGGTTACTACCAATGTGTTAATTCTATTCTGCACCATCAGAAAATCTTGGTTTAGTTAATGAAAGAAGCTACTTGGTCCAATGAATAAACAAAACCCCAACAACTAAGGGCTTCTTGGAAGCAGTGAGTGATGTATGGCTTAACACTACCCTCTGAGGGTGGTAGTGATGTTGTCATTTTTAAGAACTGGAATGTGTTTCCACATTAAGTTGAAATCCCTGCTTTATGTCATTTTAGAAAAGATTTAAGTGGGACAAAGTGGGATAAAGATGGCTTTAAAGGAAAAAGCACCTTTCAAGAAAGCTTTTCTAAACCCACTTACTCTCTTTATCTTCCAGCACCTATTCAAGCACCTATTAGTTCAACTAATTAAACTAGGATCCATTCTTGAAAAAACAACAAAAAAATAAAGACAACTTCTTCTCTACAAATTGTTCTTTGCCTTTTCTTTCTTTTGCTCAACTTATTTTTATTTACCTGTCAATATGTTTTCCAATAGGCTTACTCAAAATCCAAACAGGAAGGGAAGCAGAAAATTAAAACATATGGGCAAATCACTCAAAATTTGTTGTAGCAGTAAAACTATTTTGTTCAGAGCCCACTGAGAATTTTTTTAAATGGAGACAATTCTGCAAGCCAAGTAAAAAAATGTTCTGTTAAGTAGAGAACAGTTTCCTATGTTAAAATTTCTGTAACTCTAATGACCTGCTGTTAGCAAGGCACTAATTTCAAAACTCTCCGTATGAATAATTAGATACCCTAATAAGACTCTCAGAACAAATACCAATATAGAAAATACCCTTTAGTTCAATGTAATTGTTTTACAGCTTTTACATTAAAAGAATCATATAAAATTTCAAAGTCTCTATCATATTTAGTTCTAACTTTAAGTGTACATTTTATGGCTATTAAGTTAAACTATTAACAAGAATTACTACATAGTTAAAATGATGTGTGATACACTTTCACAGGGCACCTACCACAACTACCTACCAGTTAAGTAAGAAAACATAATATTAATATATCTAGTACTTTTACCACAAGATAATTTCTACTCTCCACTAGGTTCCTAATTTCTCCTTAGAATTAACCCAGTAGGGTTACATCGATTAATAATAAAATACAAGTCCTTAGCTGTTCCGATGGAAAGCAGACAAGCAACACATTTTACTGTTAATGGGAGTTATATTTTAAATTTCCCATATGTGGTGCCAAAAATTTACTTTAGGGGGAACACCTATGACTGGACCTCAGTAGTGATATCCACTCTGGATATATTTTCCAGCAGGGTGGCACTGTACAGCAATGTTTTAAGGAGGATGATGTGCTCTCAGACACTTACACTATGCTTTTTAACACATTGCTTGACCTGCAATGTAATTAATTTTGGTAACACATTATTTTAATGGTACACTAATTAACCTTGAATTGGAATGAATTCTGACAATGACTTTTTGTAGAAGTGTTGAAGATTATCTACATTAAGACTACTAATGATTAATATTTTTATGCAGTATTAAGAAGCTCAAAAACAAGAACCGGATCAAATATACTTGTAAATAAGCATAGATAAAATAACCAGGCTTTGGAATTTTTGCTTTAAAAATGTTTTGTATTTAAATGAACAAAGACTAGCACAGCCAGGTGTCTGAATGGGATGACACTTATTCAAATAATAAGTTCCCATAAACATGCTCTAATTTAAGATTATCAGTTCAAATAATAAGATAAGCAATAATCTGCAGAGATACCATCCTCATAGCCATTTATGACAAAATCAGAAACTCAACACCCATGGTTTCTTTCCCTTTTCTCAAGAAAAACATGAATTAGGTGCACAATAAAGTTCTGTTTAAAGACTTTATCCACATTTATGAAGCATTTCACCTATTTTTATATATAACGTTTATCTTCTATGAATGATATAATCTCTTACAAATTTTCAAGTTAAATTTATTTTTACTGCTACCACAAAAACAATTTACTGCTACTACAAAAAGAACAATTCTTTGTATCTAGTTTTAACAACTCTTCTGCAAAAAAGCATCCCAGAAGTATTCAGGAGATAAGGGAGGAAGGCCATTTTTAAAAGGAACCTTTGTTAGGACACCAGAAGACCACACAAGCACTGTTTGGAGCGCGCTGGATAAATTCTGGAATTCAAATATAGTAAAACCCGGGGAGGGTGGTGGCAGGGAGTTCTCATTTATTAACCAAGCAAAGGTACTAATACTGTCCTACCTCAGACAGATGAATGACTCTAAAGTGCTTCAAAAGTGCAGGGTGGCAGCTAACCTATTAAGTGGTATTACTTTCACATCTTCTGGAAAATACTGAGTGGGTTTTAATATTTTAAATGCTTCTTTGATATCCTTAGTTACTTGTCCTCAAACCACGTAATTTTTAAAAAATTACATTTTCTTTGGGATATCACAAATTAAATGAAGAGACTGTATTATAAAACAAGTCTTGATGCTTTTATGGTATTTGGAGAATAGATACAAAGCATGTACACCATACATACAGTAGACAAAAACATGTTTAAATTTATAAGACGTGTCACCTTGCCACTGTATCAAAGATGGTATAATAGAGTACTGTCTAATTAGCAAATGAAATACTGCAAACTGGTCAACTTGAAAAACTGAATTTCAATGTACAATTGTAGTAGAGATTGACTTTAGTACCAATAACATGTAATGACTCTGTGTCCTCTACCCCATGCCTAACTTCTCCCCTTTTCTGCTGCTACTGTATATAAGTTGCTACAGTGAGAACTCCAACCTAAACCACCATAATGTTAGTGATGTAAGAGTGAAGGAATAAGCAAGGGAGATATGACTTCATCCTATGTAAGATAAGTAATAACAGCAAAAATAAGTTGCCATGAAAACAGCTCAGATGTCCATTATAAAACAACAGATAAATTACAATATATTCCTATGATGGAATATTACTCAGCAATATAAAGGAAGTACTGATCTATACAACAATATGGATGAATCCCAAAAATATTATGATAAATAAAAGTAGACTCATAAAAAAAAGTACATTAGAATTCCATTTATATAAAGTTTGAGAAGAGCAGAACCAATCTATAGTAGGACAATTATCAGAACAGCTGTTACCTTTGAGGAATAAGGAGATAGAACCACCTGGGAAAGAGCATGAGGGAATTTTCTGGGGTGACACTAAGGGTCTTATCTTGATGGGAGTTTCAGTTAAACAAGTACATGCATTTGTCAAAAATAATGGAATGTACACTTAAGAATTGTGCATTTCATCGTATATAAATGTTATCTTTAAAGAAAAACTAAATACTGAACTCTAATTAATGATATGTATGCAGAAGCATTTAGAACAGTGGTTCTCAACCTTCCTAATGCTGTGACCCTTTAATACAGTTCCTCATGTTGTGGTGACCCCCAATTTCATTGTTACAAATTGAACATAATTAAAGCATAGTGATTAATCACAAAAACAATATGTAATTATATATGTGTTTTCCAATGGTCTTAGGCGACCCCTGTGAAAGGGTCGTTTGACCCCCAAAGGGGTCGCGACCCACAGGTTGAGAACCGCTGATTTAGAAGGAAGTATACTGTCTGCAAAATACTCTGATAAAAATGCAGCAAAATATGATTGATGGCTGAATAGCGAGATAGGTAAATATTGATAAAACAAGCACATTAGTGGTAGAATCTAGGTAGTAGGAATATAGACATTCACTGTAAAATTCTTTCAACTTTTCTGTATGTTTAAAATGTTTCATAATTAAGTGTTAGATATGTGCCAGATTTAAAACAAAGCGAGAAAAGAAAGAAATGGAGTCAAGAGAAAGATGATTTCCCTCAAAATATTTGAAAGGATCAATAAACATATATGGAAAATGGTATAACAATTATACCTTCAAAAGGATAGAAAGGAAAGAATTTAACTAAAAAAATAGCTCAATAAAGGGGATATTGGGGGTGCATTAGATAAGAATCTACGGAAAGCCAATGAATTGTATGAATGCTTTTGGGGGAACCAATGGTAGCTAGCATTGAAATACTGTAATCTATTTTGTTCAAGTGTTGGTATATTGCTACATTGATCCTAAAAATTTAAATTAATGTAAAGATTTAAAATATTACTTAAATATAATCAATAAGCATGCATTTAATGTATAGTCTCTATGGTACTGATCTGAGAAATAATGTGCGTGACAAGAATTATGCAGATGTAATTTGTATCTGATGACTGATAATAAATATTCTGCTCACATCACACATACTTTACAAATTATTTAAATAATTCGTTACTCTTAAAAGAAATATATTTTTGAAAAACTGTAAA